AAACTATTCATTCATTGCTGCTCAATTACTTCCCCCCCCTTTCCTCTTTGCAATGTACCTCTTATTCTGGGCTTTTGTCATGCATATAATGCCTAATTCTCTGTTCTTCTCAACAGTTCTTTCCTTCATTTGTTCTAATGCAATATTTTTCACTATCTGTCCACTCTTACCCTATTCTCCCAACCCCCCCCCACATCAGAGCTTTGTAACAGTGGTACTATGTAGTATTTGTCCTTTTGAGATGGAGATATTTCACTTAGCATAATCTTCTTAAGTGTCACCCATGTTGTGTTTTATGAGTCCATTGTTTTCAGTGCTGCGTAGTATTCCATTGTATGAATATACCACCGTTTTTCTATCCTTTTGTTAATTGATTAGCACTTGAGTTGCTTCCATCTCTTTGCTATATTGTATATAACGCAGCAATAAGCATGGATGTGCATATATCTCTTTGGATGGCAGCTATGGTTTCATTATGGTATATTCCCAGTAGTGGCATTGCTGGGTCAAGTGGTATTTCTAGTCCCAACTTTTTGAGAAAGTGCCAAACTGCCTTTCATAGTGGTTGCAACATTTTACACTCCCTCCAGCAGTGAATAAGGGTTCCAATCTCTCCACAACCTTGCCAGCATTTATTGTTTGTTGCTCTGTTGAACTTTACTATTGTAACTAAGGTGAAATGATATCTCATAGTTGTTTTTATTTGCATCCCTCTTAGAGCTAGGGATTTTGAACATTTCTTCATATATTTGTTTGCCATCTGAATGTCTTCTTTGATGAAGCGTCTGTTATATCCTGTGCCCATTTTGCGATTGGGTTGTGTACCTTTTTATTATTGAAGTGCTGGAATACTTTATAAAATATATAAAATACTCTCTAAAATATGTACTCTACATATTTATTTTTTGACATATCAGATATGAGCAAGAGCCTATGGTGATGAAGGAAGAAGTTCAAGCTGCTTTGAAGGAAGTAGCAAAAAATAAGGCCCCAGGAATAGATGGTATACCAATTGAAGTATTTCAGATAACAGATGTTGCCCTGGATGTGCTCACCAAGTTGTGCCAAGAAA